TCATAAACTTGTCACATGATACCTAAATATAGGCAACTAATAATTTGGGTAGTTCTTGACCAAAATTTGGGTAATTTTTGGCAAAAAATGTGTAATATGAGTAGTTTTTGACAAAAAATTGAATAGTTCATGATTAAAACTGTGTAATTTAGGTAGCTTTTTGACCAAAATTAAAAATCAACTCATTGACACTGATAGAAAACTAACAGAATGATCATATTTCAATACTTTTGATACGTCGAGAGTGTAATATATAAAATTTAATTTATAAAAGTATAAAATGAGAAACTTAATTTTTTAAGAGAGAAAGTGAAATTTGCATTTATTAATAAAGGGGAGATTAAAAGATTAACAAATTAACTCCAGTAACATTGTCAATTCTCCGAAAACCTCTTGGACTGTTTGGTAAAGGGATATGAAGGGTTTGACAAGATAGGTCGGGGAAAATAGTCTAAAATTTTCTCAAATTTCATGTTTGTATGGAAAATTCAGTCTCCGATTTCCAAACTTGCGTAGCTGGCCCAAAAATTAAATCCATGATTATGGGTTTTGTCAAACCTAGGGGAGGTGGATTTAGGAAGATGGGTAAGCAGTTAAACATTCAAAAGATAATTGTAACCCTTAATATGAATATGAATTGAATTAATCGAGGATAAAATAATCATTTACATGACAAATAGTTATTAATAAGGGTTAATTATAAAATGCCCCCTTCAAGTTTAGCTCATGTTTCAATCAACTCCTCATGGTTTCTATTTCGACAATTTGCCTTCCTTCAAGTTCAAATACACTAAATTAACAAAGGAATTACACAGAAATTCTAAAATTACTCTTGTACCCTTAACTTTTTTCCTTATTTTCTCTCTTCTCTTTTCCTAATTGGTCCTGCAACTCCGACACCACCAGTCCTAACCTCTTTTATCACCACATCCTTTACAAACATCACCACTGGCCACCAAATTACCCACCATTATCATCACCTAACAACCACCCATCATAACCCAACCAACCAAAAGAGAGAGAGAAAACCAAGAAAGGAGACCCGTTTCAAATACCACACCAACAACCAAATTCAATCAACATTTACCACTGTAAATGCAACACCATAACCACTAGAAGATCTTTGACTCCACCTATTACTACAAGAATAAGAGTCTTTTGTGACAAATTTTTTATGGCGGCTTTGTTCGTCGTCACAAAAGACGTTTTTGAGACAATTTTTTTTGTGGCAGCTGTATTTGCCTTCACAAAAAACGTGTTTGCATTAATATTTTGTTAATATTTGTGGCAGCTATTTTTTCTGTCGTAAATAGTACCATAAACTCAAAATAAATTTTTGTATTTGAGACAACTGTTTTTCCTATCACAAATAATATTTCATTAACTTAAAATAATTTTTAATATTTACGGCAGCTATTTTTCCTGTCATATAAAATATTTCACAAAATATTAAAATGTTATTTTAGATTTAAAAAACAATTTTTAAAGAAGAAAAACTCTAAAAAAAAATTGTATTGGCCACAATTATTTTTCATGTTACAAGTAATATTTTATAAAATTACATAGTTTTATATCTAAAGATAATATATAGTTCAAAGAAAACAAAACTAAATTCTACAAAATTAATTTTTTATATCAAAACTAGGGGTGTCGAAATATGACATAACCTATTAACACAACATAATATTAGTGGTTTGAGTCTTCCTTAAGTCACCTGTTTAGTAAACAAATAGATCAGATACGATACGATTATAAACGAATCAGGTATTGGTGAAACCAATTAACAAAAATGTATACGATATGACTCGTTTGTATATCATTTACATAATTGGATAAGCCATTCAAAGAAATATTGTGTGGCCCTCTATTGATGTATATTCTAACTTCTTTTAATTCTTTATTGTATATATATATATATATATATATATATATATATATATATATATATATATATATATATATATATATATATATATATATATATATATATATATAAATATCATTTCAATATAGTAATAATAATTTAATATTTTTTTCAAATGTCACTGGAATAGTAGATGGTTTGGGAATGATGTTCAACTGTTTGCATTAATTTCTTATACTTATGGATCGTTATATTTTGTAAAAATGCATATTTTATATTTTGTTTAACTCAAGTGATTTTTTGGAAATGTTGGTCATATTTACTTTTTGTGTTTATCTATACATTGAATTAGGTAATTGTACGGATTTTAATGAGTCTTTGGTTTAATGGTACTCTTTACATCCTGAAAATTTTGTCTTCTTGAGGTCAAAGGTTCAAGCCCTCTTCCCCTAAAAAAAAAAAGTTGTACATATAACATTGGTTACCAACATTCCATAATAATAATAATAATAATTATTATTATTATTATTTTGTAGCGGCATTGTTGCCGCCATAAAATCAAATTTTTTTTGACAATTTATTTACGACACGGTCTTACTGCCATAAATATTATTTGAAACAGATAGTTGCTGCCGTAAAATTTTTTTAAGACCACACTTATTATGACGAGACAATGCTGCTACAAAAGGTATTTGTGACAATAATACCTTTTTATGACAGCACTTTATTGCCGTAAAAACTTTTTTTTCTTGTAGTATATTCAATATCTAGTAAAATTAGGTGATGCTGGGTGTGGATTTCAAGTGGAGGTGAGTGTGAATTTCAGCGATACTAATGGTGTGGCATGCTTGTGGGTGTCCCTCGACCCTCATATCTTACTCCAGTAACCCCCTAACCCAACCTCTTGCTCCGATAGCCCCCTAACCTCCAACCATTGCTTCATTTGTGTTCCCGAACCCCTACCCCTACTCCAGCAGTCCCACCCCTATACCCAACGCTGACAATACCCCAAAACCCAAAACTTACCTCCAGCAGTCTATACCATACCAACATCGAAAATCTCTCAACCCCACCCCACCTCCGACTGTCTCTCATTGCCCCCATCATCAAACAAGAAAATTCAACACTATGATAAGCCTGGTTTGGGTGCAGCAGCTATCACCGTCTTTCCTTTTCCCTATTTCCTTCTTTTGCTCCGACCAATCAATATGATAAGCATGGTTTCGCCTTTCTTTTTGCTCCGACCAATCAACCATGACATATCTATAAAGAATTTGTTCTCTCTTTCTCTATCTCTCTTCCTCTCTCTTCAGATGAGTGTTGCCTTGTTAGAGGATAGATTGAGGGGTTAGGCTGTTTAGGGGCTACTGTTGGGAGTGGGGGTGGATCTCGATTTTCGGGGTGGGTTTTGGTTTTCTCTAGGTATTAGTGGGTTTCAATTTTTCACAAAAGGGGGAGGGAGTTGGGTAGTCAACCATGACACATATAGTTTGAGAGTGAAGTGGTTAGGGTTGGGTTTAATCGAAGGAACTCGCAAGGAATTCACCAAATTTTGCTTGTGAAGAGTTGATTTATTTTATTTTTAGATAGAAGGGTATATATGTCTTTTAATGGTGTTAATGTTGATTTCTGTCAATTTATACTGTCAAGGATAACGACAATGGGATGATTGAGATATGTTAAAACTTGAAGGGGAAAATTGTCAAAATTGAAATCACAAAAAGCTGATTGAAATATGATCCAAACTTAAAAGAGATATTTTATAATTAACCCTATTAATAATTATAATATATTCGTATGTCTTGTACGTATACGTATAGGGATGCCAGTGGACCGAAGCGGGGGCGGGGAGTATAGTCTTCATCCACGTACCCGCTTAAAAAAATTCCGTCTATCCCCGTCCACCTCCGTTAACAGGTATAGTTTTCATCCCCATCTCCGTCCGTGGGTAAATTTCTAATCCGTCCCCGCTTTCTCCGTACCCGCCTAAGCCCAAGCCCAAACCCAAGTAGCATAATCCAAAATTCTAAATAGATATATTATTTTAAATAATCCAACAACATTCTAAATAATCTAACATAATCTAATACAATATAATGTAGATTGCACAATGTAAAAACCAAAATAATATAGTATTCTATTTAAAGTGTCATTGGACCACAAAAAGAGAAACGAAACTATTAGAGAGAAAGGAAGAAAATAAAAATAAAATTGAACTAAGAAAACAATAGCACTACACATGAAGATTGCTTGAAAAGTTTTTGTTATTATAATTCATATTACAACCATAAAGTGTTAAAAGATGAAAAATTAAAATTTCGCTAATTCAATAATTCTACCAACGATGAAATGCAAAACTATCTTACTCTCTCTTATATGTTTTTAGAGCATGGTCAATCAAAACTCCTAACAATTTCAATCAGTGAACACACATAGAAAAAAGAACAATTAGAGAAAAAAGTTGATAAAATTACTATATAACAATGTTACTTATTAGTTTGATTACCATATTTTTAGATTGGTAGTTATAGTAAATATGTTTAGTTAGATTTTTGAAGTGTATATATATATATATATAACAAATAGTGGGGCGGGGACGGGGACGGGGATGAGACGGGGCGGGGTAAAGGGTAAGTCCATCCCCGCTTTCATTTCCGTACGAATTTATACAGGTATTTTCGTATACGTTCATCGTTTAATACGTATAGTCCATCTTCAGTTCAAACAAGATAAATTTGAACGAATACTCATTTTTTTCCAGTCCACTGCTGCATATCAAGTATGAATCAAATTAAATGTGGAATTCCATCTTTCCAAAGGGTTTAGATTTAAGTGAGTTTGAAGAAGCCGACGTAAATCCCTCCCAAAAATTTGATCCAAACAAGCTCCGTTTGTTTAAGGGCTCAGCGAGAGAGAGAGAGAGAGAGAGAGAGAAGCCCAACCAGCACACGAACAACTCCTTTTCTCGCTTATAAAAAGGCCCTTTCCCGCTCCTCCACCGAGACAAAGCCCTCGTTTCTCCCAGTTCTTCACTCATCCCAAAAAGAAGACATATATCCTCTTTATGTGCCTTCTATCTACATAATATAGTATTCTAGAGCATCGACATATTGCAATTGTAAGCGAGAGCTGCGAAATGGGGCAACCATCTGTGCCACCTCTTCCATCGCTGTCCCCGCCACTACAGCCTCCACAGTCTCCCCCACCTGAAGAAGTCAATGAGGTTTCTCTAAATCACACTTTCACACTTTTTTTTTTGATCTCGCTTCTATTTGTTTTCCCGGGCATCTGTGTATAGATCAGTGTGACTTTGGGTATATTCTAATTAGTTTGGCTATATAATTTCCTTGTTATGTCGCACTACAGTGATCTGCTTGAATTTTTGGCTAGTTGTTCCAGTATACGTGTTGTTCTACATACCAGTGGGAATTTTTTTTCAAAAACATGATTGGTTGTGGCGCTTGAGTTCTGGGTTTCCAGAATAGAGGAGTTTTTACTTGCAATGTCTGTTGTAGAATTCACAATGTGCCTCAAAGTTATCATGGGTGTCAAGGAAAGGGGGAGAAGACAATTGCAAGCTTTTAATGATATTAGGTTTGGACAGAACCAAGTAGAACAGTGATTCTAGCATCACCCTTTGATTCTTCAAGTGAACGTGACCTTTAGGCAGTGTATGGACGACTCCATCAGTGAGACAAATGGTTAGCAGTAGCTCCATTTCCCAGCTTGTTTCTTGAGCAAATCTAGACTTTTGTCATCATCGTTCCCTCTACTACAAATTGTATTCTCTTCCTGGGGGATCAAGTTTAAAATAGTTTACCATTGTGTCAAATGTTAGAGAATTTGTTCAATTGAGTAACTGGTGCTGTACAAATTTTGCCATTCGTTCCTTTCTCTGTGGTAGTGATTGTGTGCCAGACTTTGCGTTATATGTTGTGTGTTGTGTACGTTTCATTGTTTGGGTAATTAACGTTCATTACACAAGTTGAGAATTTCCCTTCTGAATGTCTTGGCCTTATGCATAAGGCTATGCGTGTAACTGCCTTGACCACAGCTATTAAAATGAAAAATAAAGGACCACTACGTAATTCCTCAAGGAAGTATTACCTCAGAACTTACATGACCATAATTTTGTGAGATTTCAAAGCCAATTTTGATTTCTTCCAATCGATTCCTGTGATCGTTAGAGTAAACCCTTTTTTGGTGGATAGGACATCATTTCCATGCCATATTTTATTGATTAATTTGGTTTAATCATCTTTTCCTAGAAAACCTATGGTTGTTGAACCGAGCTTTTGCAAGTCTGATTCTTATTATGGAAGTCTAGTATCCTGAAGCAAACTAAATTCATTTGTACTATCCATAATGAAAATTGAGGTTACCCTATTGGGATGATTATTCTATTATATTCTACTGGTTCAACTATAATAACAACTATCTTAAGTGAGGCAAGTGAAACCCCTACGATGGGACTATCTCAGGGCTCATCTTTATGCCCTTATTTTTGTCACAACTGGATTGAGTATGAATTCCTTGGAATCAGCTCCAAGGATCAAAATCTCGTTTTGAATTGGTCGACATGTTTCTGTTTTCAAGGAGACCGAAACGAAATAATGATTGAATCAAAATTTCAATGCTTCGTAGTAGTTAGGAATGTTTTAAGATGTTTTGGTATGTTTCTTTTTATATTTCAGAATGTTTTGAGGTCTTTTAAGACGTTTCTATATATTTTGTTCTATATTTTTGAAATAAATTTTTATTCATTTCCATTTAGTTTGTAAAACGTTATTGAAATATTTTCAAGTTGATTCTTTTTCCTAGGTTACCAAAACAATGCATCGAAATTTTTTTTTGAACCTTGATTAACCCAACTATACATATTTTTAGAATATAAAGTAGAATTTGAAAAGAGGAAGTTCTTGAGATGGATATTGGATGGCTAAAAGAAGCCAAAATTGTGAACATCATAATGATATAGAGTTGAATGTTCATAGAATGAGATATTATAGAGGAATTTGTGCATACTATGGAGTATTGCACAATAGATGTAAACTTGTGAAGTTGAAAGGAAAATTCTACTTAAAAATTATGCGATCAATCTATGTTCTAAGATTAAGGTTTGATGGAGAAGAAATAATATAATCAAGAATTGATTGTGGAAAAATTTTAAAGGTTGAGATACATGTGTGGAGGTGTCATTTAAGTTTTGTTACAACATTTCAGATCAATGTTAAGTTCTATTCTACTCTAATTTGGGCAGTTTAATTAATCGTTTCAGATGAGCTAACAATATCTCCACTTGCTTAATACATTTGTTGTGCTTGGCAATCAAGTCAACTTGCATAACCCTTGAATTCGCAAACCATGAACTTAAACCCCTTCCTTTATCAAGTTTGAACCAAACCCACCATCCATATACTCATCATAAATGAAAAATCAAATCGATCTAGATTCTTGCAAAGACAAGTTAAATCCTTTTAATTGTAAAATGATTTCTAGTGAAGTGAACTAGATCAAAAATTGGAAATAAATGAAAATTATGGACATTTTGTGGGTGCTTGCTTCTACGACTATTAGTATTTCTGTTTTTTTAAATAGGAATATTGTCAATGTAATGCCAAACAAGGTCGACAGAATCTTGGGTTTCAACCATAAGATCCTTTGAGCTCCAGTATTTAATTTTGAGGTGTCTATTATTTGGATGTGCCAGAAAAATGCCTGTCGTGTGCTTTATTTATCCTAAGAAATCAAATCTGCATAGTCTTTTGTTGGGTTGTCAGCAGATAATTTACTTTGAAATTTTAGATTATGTTTTTTTTTTTTCCATGGCTCTTTGTTCATAATGCATGTAATTTTATATTATGTTTTTTTTTTTGGCACTTCTCAGGTAGCCATGGAAGTGGAGCGAGACGAAGATGAGGGTGGCATTGTGGTAGAAACATTTACAGACTATGTGAGTGTTGTCTACCTTGGATATTATTGTCTGCCATGAGTTTTGCTTTGTGGGCTTGAAATAATGGATTGTTATTTTACTGTTCCAATTTGTGTCCAGCGCCCTCCGAAATTATCTATTGGTCGTCCCCATCCAGATCCTGTTGTGGAGACATCTTCCTTATCTGCAGTGCAGCCACCTGAACCAACTTATGATCTTAAGATCATAGATGACCTGGAAAGTTCAGAAGCATTGTCATGCTTGCAGATTGAAACATTGGTTTATGCTTGTCAGGTTGTTTTTATAACTGGACTTTAGATTTTATTTTTGTGTATCATCATTTGGAATATAATGTGGTTTCCATGACAGAGACATCTCCAGCAGCTACCAAGTGGTGCCAGGGCGGGATTTTTTATTGGAGATGGAGCTGGTGTGGGCAAAGGACGAACAATTGCAGGGCTAATCTTGGAGAACTGGCACCATGGGAGGAGGAAAGCATTGTAAGATTTTGGTTGATGGAATCTTCTGATGCATTGTTACCATGTTTGTATTCTTGATCTAGTTTCACTTTATCAAGTTTTAGTAACTGCTTTGGTACAAAAAAAAAAAAAAGAAAAAGAAGAAAAAGGTGTAGTAACTGCATTGGCTGTGGGGCATTATTTTCTCAAACTCATGTTTTGCAACCTTTTCTTGTCTTCCAATGATCTTACGCAGGTGGATTTCTGTTGGGTCAGACTTGAAATTTGATGCAAGAAGGGACTTGGATGATGTGGGTGCATTGTACATTGAAGGTTGATGTGAATTCTTTATAGTCTGGGCATCTTAAATGCTTTTCATCTCCACTATCCGTTTTTTTTGGAAGGCTTTGAATGCGGGATACATCTTTGGTGAAATTTATCGTACATAAAGCATACTATTGTGGTTGCATGTTCCTTCTCTTTCTATCCTTGTTTCACTATTGCTTGTGATGATTTACTATTCTTATATCTTTCCTTCCCTTTAGCATGTCTCTATGAAAAAGAAAGAACAAAAAAAGGGAATAAACCATGTCCTTGATTATGTTTTAGTGTGGGCTAAGTTTGTTAGTACTTGAATTGTGAAGTTCAGGGCCTTTCAATATCATCAGTGGGACGATTGGGTGAGGGCCAAGGTGCAAGGCGCAGCTACACATGAACAATTTGCCTCAAGTTATCCGAAGCGAGGCGACTTCATTGAGACTAGGCTTAGGTGCCCAAGGCATACACTTTTAAGTCATGCTTGAGTCTTTTGAGGCATGCAATTGTTTATTGCTTTATGATTAAATTTGGGCCATTGATTTTGTTGATCTATATTGATTCCAGGGTTTAGAAGGTATATTTATAGACCTCCTCAAAGCTTTACGTTAAAAGGCAATGCATAACAATCAAATTTCTTTTTAAGGGTTTTTCCAAGGTTGATGCAGAACAATCAAAATTCTTTTTTAAAAATTTATGTCCAGGAGGCTGAGAATTCTGTGGCTTGGGACCAAGATGGATGAGGGTGCCAAATTCATGTACGTTGTCTCCATATCACTTGATTAAGTGTGTGTGAGGTGTTTTCTAAGTTTGGGCTTTGGATCTTCTTTATGTAAACCATTCTGAAGCCATTCAGACCTTGCTAAGCATGGAAAATAGTATTCTGTGGAGGTCTTGGCATTACAATTGATATCACGGCAGCACTGACCGAAAATGTGGGATAGTTCCCACAGAAGGATGTGTGGCCTTAACGTGAACGGACTGTGGTGACCCAAGATCCAAAAGGTCAAGATTCCCGAGGCTTTGGGCCAAGATGGAGAAGGTCAGAAAGCCAAAACAAATCCTATGTACCTTGTTCTAAATCACTTGGTGAAGTGTGTGTGAGGTGCCTTATGAATGATGCAGGTTTGAGGCATTACAGAATACAGAGCCTCTTTACTGTTGATTTCTGGTGAAGATTTGAGTGTCTTCGCCGTCTTCTTTGCCTCGGCCAACCTTTTCATCATCTTTTTCGCCCCCTTTTGTTTCTACTGTGTCTGGTTCTGGGTCTTCAATGGGGTTTTTAATTTTCATCGTATTCTTCTTCTTCATTCGTTTGCTGTGGCATATCGGTTGTCCTCTTCTTCTGTCAGACGAGTTGTTATCTTTTTTCTTCCGCTTTTTTTTGCTTTTTATACATGAGGCTGGTACATTGTTTTTAATTTTTTTTCCCTCCATTAGGGCTTGGGCCTGCCAATGGGCTGATACGGCATCCTTGGTCCTCTTTCCGCATTCTTTCTTCTTTAGTTCGGTTTTTGTATGCACTGTTTGGCTCTTGAGCAAGCAGGAAAGCATTTTTCCTCATCATCACTATGGGTTGTGATAGTTGGCTGCTTAGTTATTTTGCTTAATTGGTTAATTTGAAGTTACTTAATGTTGCTCACTTGATTCAATAGGAAATTGGACTAATTGCGTAATTTGAAATTGATTAATGGTTTGAATAACGTCAATTAATTATTTTATTTGAAATTACTTAACTTGACATTACTCAGTTGCTTTATATATTATTCACCTTTTGTGATTGTGGTCTAAGAAGCACAGAAGGGGACACGGATGCGATGCAACATGGACATGCCGACACAAAAGTTTTCAAAAAATTAGGATGCGGAAACGTTGGGGAACACACTAAATATTAGGTATGTAATTGTTTATATATATATATATATATATATGTATAACCATATGATAAAATAAATATATTTTTTAATGATAATCATTCAATTCATCATTCCTTAGTTCTAACAATTCACATCACGATAATATCAAATAAAAAATAAAATATAAGATATATCGATACACATTCATCATAAACATTCATGATCCACTAATCTACCTTTGATAATTATCATTTTCAAAGGTAGTCTACTTTGTAACCCTATTTTTTCATTCAATTTTTGAAAGTTCCAATTTCATAACCTTTTTTTTCGTCAAATTACTTCATATAAAAAGTTTATTTCACTTGCATATAATTTCATAATCATGTCCTAAATTATATTTATGTCGGTGTCCTATCTCCATGTAGTGATTATAACTCTTATATTATAACTTTGACCCATATCTCTTTAAAGTTACAAAATAACTTGCTTATTCATAAAGTTACTTGACAAGTTTTCAAAAATTTGAAAAGCAAAACTCACAACGTGTACTCTAGCGTATCCTGAACGTGGTGGCCACTTGTCTCCAATGTGTCCGGAGCATGTCCCCAACATGTCCAAAACGTATTTGGAAAAAATATAAACATTAAAAAAATTAGACACTCATTTTAACGTGTCTAACATGTGTCCGAAGCGTGTGTGACATTGACACTTTGGCCAAAATTAAGTGTCCATACTTCCTAGATTGGATCGTTAATTCTCATTATTTATGGGAGGCATTTAACACTTAGGTGATAATGTTATCCCATTGTTGCAAGTTTTGGTTAATGGAATCCTTATTTGCCTACTATATATAATATGCGCCAGCGCCTCACTCCATTGGGCCCGTGCCTCGCGTAACCCTTTGCGCCTAGGCCCCAAGAGACCTTGGCGCCTTGGTGCGTCTTGTGCCTTAATTAACACTGGGTGGTTTGTACCAGGAGAGGCATACTGCATGCATAAACAGTTTCAGTCATAGACAGAGAGAGGAAAGCCGCAAAGCAGGAGGAGGAAGAAAAGGAATCTAGAATGCAGATAAAGGTGGTAGATGAACCAGGTTGCAAGTAGATGATATCTGCTCTTGTTTATCTTGCTTGCCAAATTTAAGGAGTTGATGAAATTATTGAATCATATATCTTGATATTGTGTTATGCTTGAGATGTAGGACTAATTGAAATGCGTGTCTAATTCCTTAGGTGGTACTCTAGGTTTTAGGTTTCTCTCTTGCTGAACCCAAATATTTCAAATTGGGGGCATTTTTTAAGTTGAACTTCATAATTTTGTTTTTCTGTGCAGTGCATGCTTTGAACAAGCTGCCTTATTCTAGGCTTGATACAAAGTCTGTTGGCATTAGAGAGGGAGTCGTTTTTTTGACATACAGCTGCCTCATAGCATCTTCAGAGAAAGGTCGGTCCCGTTTGCAACAGCTTGTGCAGTGGTGTGGACCAAAATATGATGGTCTTGTTATATTTGATGAGGTACGAGTTTTTCTCTGTTATGTAATAGATGAATTGATGTGACTTTCATGGTTGTTTAAACCTAGATTAGTTTCATTTCTAGAATCTTTGCATAGTTTATGCAAGAATTGATTGCAATTTCTTATCTTTCATTGCTAATTTTCACTGGCTTCATTGTAGTGTCATAAAGCCAAAAATTTGATCCCTGAAGCCGGAGGGAAACCAACGCGGACGGGCGAAGCAGTTCTTGAGATTCAGGTTCTACTATTTAATTTCTTGATACCCATAATGCCCCTGAAAGGTTTTTATTTTCTTTAATTTTTGTATAATTTTGACCATTGTCGGGGACGTTTATTACTTTCTAGCTGAAATACCGTTGTCTGCAAAATTTAGGAAAATAAGTATTGCATTGAACCTGATGCATACCAGCCCAAAACAACCTTTGACTGGACTTAGGCATCTACCCCGGACATTCCCTCAAATCCAGAAAGGTTTCTTGATCATTTTGGACTCACAAATTTTTTTTCCGGCTTTATGGGAGATCTTCTGAAACCATGCAATGACTGCTGCTTTACATTATTATATTGAGAGTAAGTTCAAATTTCCAAAGTATCCAGTCCTGCACAAAACAAATATAAAAGATGGCGATAGAGCCACAATATACATTGTACCACTACATGATTAAGAGAGGGGAGTATACATTTGAAATGAAAAATAGTGTCGCCTTCTGAAACAATTGATTTTTTTTTTTTTGTCTGAAATATGATCCTATTTTTTTTTTTTTAATCCTTGAGATTTGATAGAAATATGACATGCTGGATTATACTGAAAGTTACCAGAGTTCTGGTCTGGTACCATCAGATTTGGGACAAGGTGGCCCAACTATCGTAAGATTGTGGGTTAAATCTGAGAGCAACCACTTTGCACAAATGATGTCAAGGGTTAGGTTTGTACTCGGTCCATCTTGCCTACCACCTCCAAATTAATGGAGACTAAACTGGGTAATTACTTTCTAGATGTGGGAGGAAGTACATTTATGCATGTAGGAGATTTGGTTGTATCAGTGCACATTTGGTAGGGGTTGTAAATGCATAACTTGGCCATTGTGCATTGACTATCCGCTTAGAGAACACAATCAAGGTTCAGCATTAAAGCCCTTGTTGAGAGGTCGAAAACATGATGTTTCAATCGTTTGGCTGAAGTTTGATTTGTTCTGCTAGATTCTGAGACCAATTGACCTTCAAAAATGCCAATTGAAAGCTGATTGCTTTGGGTTGGTTGGCAAGGCTAATGGATTCTGCCACTTTAGCTCCTGTCATGTTGTCTCAAAGTAAGGTATTATGTGTAACTGTAAACTGTTGTTTGGCGGGAGAAAACTTTTTTCACTTGTGACCTATGATTGTGAATACCAATTTTAGTAGTTATTTCCTTTTATTTACTTAATTCAACTCAACTTAACAAAATTGCTTCCCAACTATTTAAAATCACCTACATGAATCATGTTTCTGCATTAAATTAAGCCCCTGACTGTAATATTGTTGTTTACTTTCTCAGTCCACAGTAAATTTGGTGTTCTTTGATCCCCCTATTCTCAAGACCCATTTTCCATAAGGAGTCTGAGAAAGGTTTCAAGTAATATAACTCTTCTCATTTCTTCGGCTTTGGACTGGTTGTGTAAACAATTGAGACACAAAGTATGACAAAGGTGGAGTTTTTTTTATTACTTAGTGGTCAAAAACTAGGAAGCAGGATACAGATATAAGAATGGGTATGATACGATTGAAAACCAGGATACCGATACGATTTGGATGTGCAATAATTTTTTTTATGCTTTTGCTGATGATTTACAATAAGCACAATTTTATATCAATCTTTTTGATGACAGTTAAAAAATGTGTCAATGTAGAATTAGAGCTTTGACTTTTTTCTATTGGCAATTGGGCTCCCTCACGTGGCGACAACAACCCTTCACGTGGGCTGCTACCTGGGCTCTTGTTTTTTTTTCCTCATCTTCTTTGCATCTCTCTCAAAGACTCCCTTGTAGTCTGCATACTTAAATGCTAACCAAAAGGTTAAAAGTATGTGATATAACATTGATATTCATAATATACCATTTTTTCTAGGGAATCTTCATCTTGAGGTCATATCAGCCTCTGGTTTTGACCCCTCTTCTCATAACTGATGACAATTAATATTTCATTAAAAGAGATACCACAATCATTTTCAGCTACTGCTGCTAGTTTGGAACAAGGCTGTCACCCACAACATTCTCATTCATTGAAAAGCAACAGGTGCTGGTATACTGTTTTGGTAAAGAACAAGAGTGGTTGTGCTTTCTACGTATTTTAGTTTTTACAGGTGCCTTTTTTCTGTTCTCCTTCGATTTTTTATTTGTCTTTTTCCTCTTTTTTTGGCTTCTAATATGATGTGGAAAATGCTGTGTCCTTGGTACCATGCTGTACTTCATAGCCTTCTGTTGGCTGATTTGTGAATATCTCTCTTGGAAGCGCATGTGCCTTATGAGTTATGACAAACGTGCCCACATGCATGTGCACATGGTCATGGAGCTTTACTTCTGCCTAGCATGGATATGTGAATCTTTGGTGCCAAATATTTCCTCTTGTTTCTCTCTTCATATTGTGTTAAATAGCCATCTCTGTGGCTTGTAGTTGCAGAATTGCTTGGCATAGGTATATTTGAAGTTTTATAATCCTATTTTTATTTTCTAAATAATAGGCTCGACTTCCTGAAGCCCGTGTAGTTTATTGTTCAGCAACTGGTGCATCAGAACCACGGAATATGGGTTATATGGTTCGCCTTGGTCTTTGGGGGGATGGAACATGCTTCCTTAATTTCCGTGATTTTTTAGGTCTGATTTCTGTTACCTGGATCTTGCTATGTTTTGAATGACTTGCAGCTTTGAATCCTTTCATTGATATCTATGCTGCATATTTTTGAATAGAGTTTTTCGTATGGAGCGTGTTCATTAGTTTAGTATAGTGTAAGGGGAGTAGTTTATTAATTTTGTGATGAATGAGTTCTGGAGGTGGGTTGGTCCTGTAATTTTGATGAAACATGCTATTAGATAGTCAGTCAGCATCACTTTTGGTCGAAAAATCTTGATCACTAATGATTTAGTACACTTACTATTGGTCCATAATTTGGACATGTTCTCACTTCATTCAAGCTGTAGGAATTCATGAAACTTTCCCTCTCCTGAAGTTCTACTGAAGGACTCCTACAGCTGATACTGAGCTCGTGCAGTTCAAAGTGAAGGGGAGTTTAAGAAGATTCTGCATTTACATATCAATATGCCTGTTCGGTCAAGATAACTAATTTGAGACAAACCTTTTGATAGTTGACCCAACAGTAGAACCATAGGACGAATCAATACACGTCACATTATGCCATTTGCGCTATGGCTATCTTTTCTAATAATGCATTTGTAATTGCTGCATGTCTTAATTACTCCTTAAGCAATGCCCCATGTTTTACATCGAGTATTAATTTTAAGTTTAATAGCAAAGGTTGTGTGCTTTTGATTATTATTATTATTTTTTGTTTCTTTTCATTTACACTTCTGTTCACCATGAATATATATATGTTTTTATCTCAAACAATTAACTGCAGGAGCTCTAGAGAAAGGGGGTGTTGGAGCTCTAGAGCTTGTTGCCATGGACATGAAAGCAAGGTTATAATTTAGCAGCTTCTTATGGGAAAATGTGTCATAAGTTACGATGTCAGTTTAACTATTGCTGTTTGAATTTTCAGAGGGATGTATGTATGCCGTACGTTGAGTTACAAAGGGGCAGAGTTTCAAGTTATTGAAGTGCCACTAGATGCCAAAATGATGGTATATTGCAATACTGTGCTTTGTTAGATTAGAATAAGAAATTCATACAATGCTCCACTTGCAACCATTCTTGTTTTGTGAACTATTTTTCTTTGGCTAAGTGAATGATTGTGTTGAGTATAAGTATTCATGTACAAGTGCAGGGTCAAACTAGCCCATCCAATTAAATACATTTTGGAAGCCTAAGCATAACAAAGCTTTATCGACCCCATAATCATAATTATGCCAAAGGGCAAAACCTAAGGAAATCTGATGAGGGTCGATTGTTGAGATAGATCCCTGGCAGATTTACCTATGCAACAGGAACTACGTATATTTAAATAGTAACTTTTGCAAGACAAAACCACAGGCAATGGAAACAGCAGACATTCACTAGGTAGTTTCCATTTATGAAAGATTTCCTTGTCTTGTTGAGTGTCATTGAATTTGAGGGAGAGGAGTTTGCACCAAACTGTGTTGACCATCTGGCGGGTAGCAGCTTCCTGAATTCATTGCGGTGGATTCTTCTATTCCTAGACAGCTATGGCACAAAGCACATCTGATTGCCACTGATGCAAAACTGCTTTCCAGTTCCTCGGTTGGGAGGCCCAAGTAGCAAATTCAGACCAAGGTTTGGACATCCATTGTAGGTGACATTTATGTATTACCTTTGTCCAAATATTGCTTGTGTAGGAGCACTCAAAAAAAATACGAGCATGGCTATAGCTGCTCTACCAGAGCGGTAGGCAGTCCCCATTTTTGTTTGTCAACTACAATTCTTACCCAACCAAGCCTCATGTCCTATTCATTTGGGGTCAGTTACGCGAATCCTTTTTTTCTAGTCTTTGTTGTGGAGGTTATCTGTTCAATTAAAGTTTTCACATTCAACCTTTTTCACTTCAACATTCAATTTCCGTCTTAGTCTTCCCTTTACTTGCAATCACTAATGGTCAATATGTCACTCTTCATTACTAGTGCATCTATTGCTCTTTGTTATACATGTCCAAACCATGCCAATATGTTCTTTCTTCTCGTATCTTCAATTGGGGAAACCATTGTCTCTCAATTGTATCCGTTTTCCATTTTATATTTCTTGGTATTGCTACACCCATTAAACATCCTTATTTCAGCTACATTCATTATGTTAATTGGTTGTTTCTTAGTTGCCTAACATTTTGTCCAATGAAGCATGATTGGTCTCTTAATCCTTCTATGAAAATTTCCTATGAGGATCTCATTTGTTAGAAGGAAGATCCAGGAGAAAGTGGGAAAGATAATATTTTGAAATGTCAAGTAATTATGATAGATAAATTCCTGCATTGGATGGATTTTTCTGTTTATTTAAGTTCCAGTAGCAGTAGCTTCTTTGCCTCTACTTGTCAGCGCATGGATAAATAGGGTAGTCGAAGTGTCAAGGGGAGGATGGATGCTTGAGTGGTTAAAAGAGTCGGTCTTGAAAACCGAAGTATTGATAGGAATATCGGAGATAGAAAGTGTTATTGTTATTTCTAACATGATGTTGCTTACCTCCCTATTAGTTCTCTAAGGGAGTGAAGCATAGTTCCCTCTGACATTTTGTTTGAAGCTTGAATCTCCCTTCTGGCATTAAGCTCTTTAAGGTTCTCCCCAAGTATCCAACCCTTTTTTTTTCAAGCAAAAAGACTGGAAAATTAAAGTCGTCTCGTGAAAATGGTTTTCATTAATTTGAACTCCCAATTTTCCCCTGTTATCTTTATTATTAAAAATTTGTCAGGTATGTACTCAGAGCTTTGTGCTCTATTATGCAAAATTTTTAATTATACAAATTCTAGAACTATTGATGTTAAATGATCTATATTGTGACCGTAGCAATTTTTATCATGTTTACTTCTCAAGATGAGATGACTTGGTGACGTTTTCTGCCAATTGGAAAATTACTGTTTGTGCTTCGTTCCTGTTCCTGCTTAAGCTATAGTTTGGGAGTTTCCTTTTGTTGATTGATTGCAGATTTCGTGTTTCCACATTTAGGCACTAAGGGGTAAGCTTAGAGACGGAATTAAAATATAAGAATAGAGGAGTACATGGGGGGTCAAAGAAATATAACTCTACCAGTACCAAGCAATATAGACTGGGCCTGCTTTCCATTCATTTATAAGGATGCGATTCTGTTGGTCAATAGGGCACATCACTTTCGCTTCAGTAATAGAGGCGCTTGATTAACAAATAAAAATATTGGTCTACTTTCATTGGTTTAGTCCGGTCATTGCTTATCTTGGAACATTATCCGTTAGATGCCTATTGGTAATGTGTTAGGAATGCTCACTTTGACTGATCTTAGTATCAGTTACATTTAAATCATCTTAGGGCATACTTCAATTCATTTTGAAAATGGTTTTTATAATTTGATGTCTACACTTATGTATTTGAATATGTGGAAATTTGATTTGGCTTCTTGACATGGCATTGGTCTTAGGATATGTATAACAAGGCAGCACAATTTTGGGTGGAGTTGAGAGTAGAGTTGCTAGCAGCAAGTGCACTTTTCACAGACAATAAGCCCAATTCTGGCCTGCTTTGGAGGTTATACTGGGCAAACCAACAGGTTATATTCTGCACAGTAGATCATGTTTAATTGTTTGGATACTTCATCTCAAACATTCTACCGTCTTGGTTTCTCTTAGTTGTTTTCAAATTTTTCCCCGTGTGTGATTGTAGCGGTTCTTTAGGCACATGTGCATGTCAGCTAAGGTACCTGCGATTGTAAGACTGGCTAAGCAAGCATTAATGGAGAGTAAATGTGTGGTTATTGGCCTACAGAGTACTGGAGAGGCTCAGACTGAGGAAGCTGTGACAAAATATGTAAGTTATGTTTCTTTGCATTCTGGTGTATGTGCTTTTAGTCTTTGTTTGGAAATAACTATCTTTGCCTCTTTATTGAAATTCATGTGGTTTGTATTACTTAGTGTTCTTGATGATCTGTTTTCTTACAACATCCTTTTAAATAGGGTCTTGAACTTGATGGTTTTATTTCGGGACCTCGTGAGCTGTTGTTGAAATTTGTTGAAGAAAATTATCCACTGCCCCAAAAGCCTCGATTGCTCCCAGGTATTTTATGGTTTATATACTGATGTTTTTTTTCCTGTGCCTGTCTTTTCATGCTACGAGTAGTTTTAATTTTTTAATGTTGTACTTTTAGAGGAAAGTGTAAAGGAGTTCCAACGAAAGAGGCACTCTGCACTGCCTGGGTCCTTTAGAGGGAGAGTTAGGAAAGTTGCAAAACATGAAGCTACGAGTGATGATGAAAGTGAAAAAGAATCTGAATGTATGTCTCTTGAAACCTGGATGTGGCAGTGTATGTGCATATTCTTACTGGCCATCTCTCCTTCGTAGTGCCATTGCTTTGGATATTTGATATCTTTCCCTTTCGCTCAACTGCATTTTTTTTTTCATTACCATTGGTCATGTCTTTATGGAACATTTTGGCACTGTTGTGCAATTGTTCTTTCGAATTCCGTCGGATGATACATGCTTTGCAAAGTTTGACGTCTTCTTGGGGTGGATTACCACGCTGCATATTTACTTAATGTACATAAGGCTTTATTTGTTTTCATTGCTCAAATCTTTTTTTAGTTATTAAATACCATTTTAAGTGGTTAATCACTGCAGCTGATTCTGAACCTGATTCTACTGAATGGAAAGCTGAGAGTGATGATGGAAGTGGCGAAGAATCTGAATGTAAGTTTCTTGAACTCTGGATTTGGCAGATTTTGTGCATTGTCCTATTGACCATCTCTCCTTCATAGTATCATATTTTGAATATAGGTATCTTCCCCTTTGACTCAGCCACCCACTTTTCTATCTTCATTACCTTCGGTCCCCTTGTGTTAAGTGATCAAATTTTCATTTTTGATGCATTGTTTCGTTCACCTAGGAAATGGAAATGTTTGGAAACAAAATTGAAATGAATAAAAATTTTGGGAATTTATTTACAAAACACTCTGAACCATTGGTCGAAATATACCGAAAGGTCCGAAACATCTTAAAATATCTCGAAATATTACGAAATGTTGGTTGAAATATGTCGGAACATCTCAAAACAGCTCTATATATTCTGATATAAGTCGAAACATTGAAATTTCGATTTTTATCACTGATTTGTTTAGACCTCCTTAGAAATGGAAATGTTTCGATTGTTTCAACTGTTTTGAAACAAAATTTTGATTCTTGGACTTGTATTTAACATTTTTGTTATTGTCGTGCAATTGTTCTTTTGAATTGCAGTGGATGATATATGCTTATCAAAATTTTGGCAGCCTTCTTATGGTGCATTAATGATTGGCATATGTACTAAATGCAACTGAGCTTTTATTTGTTGTTATTATTTGTCTGTCTATTTTGTTATGAATGCACATATTTACCATTTTGTTACTGATTTTCTGTTCCATCAATGCAGCTGATTCCGAACCTGAATATACTGAATCTGATGATGAGTTGCAGATCTGTGACCTTTGCAATACAGAAGAGGTATCCTTCCTTTATTTTATGTTTAACCATGGTTTAATTGTTTTGATACCTGTATTATGTTAATATCTTCTGGATCATTTTTTTGGGAAAGAAATACATTATTCCAATGTTCCTGTTGTGCCCAGCTTGTCCATTCTACATGTTTAGTGCCACCTGTTATAGATGCTGTATCTGGGGAAATGACCTGTCATTCATGCAAGGGAAAACCAGATGAATATCTTCAAGCAAGACATGCTGATGTTGCAGAACTATTAAAGAGGTGTTCAGATATGCAGAACTGGTTCATATTTTTTATTTCCCCTTATTTTCTGATGTATCAATTTTTTTGGGTGGTTGCGCATGCAGTTACTGCAAGTTTTGTTTAATCAGCATTTGTTGGTAGCTATCACATTCTATATATATGGTCACAGGTATGAAGGATCCATTGAGCGTAAGTCAAAAATGTTAGACATAATTCGTTCTTTGGAGCTTCCAAACAATCCACTGGATGATATTATCGACCAGGTAGTTGCAAAGGGACCTCTCTCTTGCTCTCTGTCTATGTATGTGTGAATATATATTATATACTTATTAATTTTGCATGCCTGCTAATATTTTTTCTCTTAATGACTTTTTATGTCTGTGCAGCTTGGAGGACCTGATCATGTTGCAGAAATTACTGGGAGGCGAGGCATGCTTGTTAGGACCTCTGGCGGGAAAAGTGTCACTTATCAGGCACGCAACACGTGAGTTTAGGCACCTTCTTGCTTGCATAATATTTGATTTTATCTTGTGACGGCTGAATCATGCTCTGATGTTGCTTCAGAAAGGATGTAACCATGGAAATGGTCAATATGCATGAGAAGCAGCTCTTCATGGATGGTAAGAAGCTGGTTGCGGTCATTTCTGAAGCGGGATCATCTGGAGTTTCTTTGCAGGCAGACAGAAGGGCATTAAATCAGGTAAATTTAGTTCTGTGATGATTTTTTATTTTTTATTTTTGCATTTTCATGGCACGATTACTCAAATGTCTAAAGTAATTACTTCTGTGCATTTGAGTCCACATAAGATCTGAATTGTTAATCAATATTGGACTCCTTACATCATATGTTACTGTTCACCAACTCCTTTCCAAGTTGGTTCTTTTACTCATGATTTGCCCGTTGGCTTTGTTTTCAATGCCAGAAAAGAAGGGTTCATTTAACTCTAGAACTACCTTGGAGTGCTGACCGAGCGATTCAACAGTTCGGAAGAACTCACCGGTCAAACCAAGCTTCTGCACCTGAGTATAGGTAGAGATTGCATTTTATTTCTAAGATGGCTTGTGATTGCATTAGTTATCGGATAGGATATGAGAGGGGAGTGTTGGTGTTATTGTGGGAGAAAGGGGGGGAGCAACTATTTCTAAAGGGTCACAAAGTCAAGAGCTTCAGTATATAATTGTATAGTTATTTAACTAATCTGATTCTAGATGGATTGTTGAGGACCTCTTTAGCTTCAATATAATTCTTAGACCGACAGGGTGGAACCAGAAATTTTCTACAGTGGGAGCAAATTTTAGCAACAAAAATACTAGGTGTCCTTATTTTAGAGACCTAATGTAGAGACGTAATGCATTGCTACCATTGAAATAGCAAAGAGACTACATTCAATACTGAGAGACCCATTGCTAATTCAATGATAGCAATACATTAGAACCTCAAACTAGGTTCCTAAATTAGATCCCTATAACATTGCTCTTTTAATAATAGTAAGAGGAAAAAGTTTGAACTAATAATAATAAAATAGTAATCGTGCAAGGGTTCGTTACCCTAAATTAGGGTTTAGGTTAAGGAGGGTCAGATATATGCAGTTGTACAATTTTATTGACTAATTTTTGTATTATAAAAATATTACATAAAAGAAATTGAGTAGGGTAGTTGCCCTATAAAGCTCGAGTGGCTCCTCCATCCTTGAGGTAAAAATATTTGAATAGATGGTTTGAGTTCGAGTATGCCAATTTTTTTTTTTTGGGGGGGAGGCTCGTCAGATATCGAGGATATGAGTCGGATACACATAATACTATTTGATAATTAATAAAATATGTAGATACTTCATGGATACTTCTAAACAATGTTATTAGAATCGGACTGGACATCGAACCAACAGAAGGACCGGGTCAATGGTTCACTGGTTTACCCGTTGAGTTAAATAGTCGAACTGCTCGTATAAATAAAAAATAAAAAAAATTATAAAATATAATAATTTAACTAAAATTTACAATCACAATAAAAATTAAATAATTTACTTTGTGTCTTAACTTTTTCCTTCTAAATGTGTGTATTAACTATTTAACTGTGTATATTCAATTATTCATGTTGACAGTGTGTGTGCTCGGGTAGAGAAAGAGAGAAAAAAAAAAGACAACTCAGCTACAAGCTAGCATACGAGAGAGAAAAAACTAAAGAGAATAAAGAAGAACCAGCAACAGCAAGTCACCTGTGAACTGTGGGTGAGTCTCATTGTGCGTGGAGAGAGACAAAGGAGAAGAAAAAAACTTACAAAATTGTTGTGTTTGCTACTGTTCAAGAGGGATCTGTGGTATTTTCGCTGTTTGAGAAGGGTCTGTGGTGTGGTGTTTCGAGATCTAGATCTAGATCTGTGGTGTTTCAAGATCCAGATCTTTGCTGCTGTTTAAGACGCAGAAGACGAAGTGGAAGGAGATGGAGAGCCAGCTGGTTTTAAGTTTTGAACTGATTGGCTTTAGGAATTTTAGGTTCACCAGTTTTGGTCAAAATCGGCCGATTTTTCAACGATTCGATTCTGTAGGAAGTCTAACTAAAGAACCAGACTGCTTTAGGTTCCGGTTCACAATTCAACCGGTCTGACCAGCCGGTCCGGTTCGGTCTGGTCTGGTTTTGATAACACTACTTTTAAATATGGAGTAAAATGCATAATTTTTAATTTTAATTTTAATTTATACCCTTTTCTTTCTAGTTTACATGCAGTACAAAATATCAACAAATTTCATTTGATTTTGAAGACACAAGTATTTTTTAAGTATTATCTATTATTACATGTCAAAAGAGTGTAACAAAATGAGTTAATTATATTATAATCTTAGAAACAAATACTTGTAAACAAACTAACTAGTTAAATGTTTGTTCTGATTCTTTGAATTGGTCACGTTCACTTTATGAATATATCATAATAAGGCGATATTATATTTTTTTCATGGTAATTTTTTTTAATTTTACTTACTATTGTTAAAGAATTAATAAAAAATCATAATTTTTAACTTGTTAAATAATAGTAAAATATAAAATATATTTCATTATAGACAAATCTTGGCCGTGCCCGTATCTTAATTTTTTAAGTTTTGTCGTATTTGTATCGTATCATATCGATATCACGTATTCATATCCGTACATCATAACTTACATTATGCGGTATGATGAGGGTAGACTTATCTAGTACAGTGTTTTGGGTCACAATTCGTTTTGGAACTCTTATTTGGATCGTTTTCACTACTATATAACATTATATATCATAGAACATTAATAAACACCAAGACTTACTATTTATCTTACATTTATACTCAATTTTCTATTATCTAAAATAATATAAAATTATAAATCTATATACACGTATTTAATTAATCTGTATTTTATATTTGTACTATATGTTTCAAAATGAATCGATTTAGGGTTAGTATTACAATTGGAGTCATACATTTTGATGATCTGAATTGCGAACCCACTTTGTTTGGGATCGATGTACCAGATCGTGGGTTGTCAGGGGTTTATTGAATTCTGGTAATTGTGTTTCGACCCCTTTTCCCCTTAATGATTTTTATTTTTCTAGTGTTGTGACATGTATATTGCAAAGATTAGCTCTTTGGCAAGTCAATATTTATTTCACTTTGACTTGTAAAAACATGAGTTTTATAACTCAAAAGCATTAGAATTTGCGGATTTTGAGCAGCAGTTTTAAAGTTCCTGGATTAGACTGGGGTTTGCCCCCAAACCTGGTATACACAGAAGTGTAATTACTTATAGTGAAATTAGCTATTCAACTCATTACTAACATTTGTTCAATAGTTGAGCTAATTGTTTTGGTGCCAAGCACAGAAAATTTCATTGATCACTTACGGGATCAGAACCACATATTCTTAAGTACAGTGTAACTTATTTGGGAGCTCTGTTTTTGCATTGGTCATGGCCTTGGGTAAACTGATCCAACTCGAGGCAACTGCTGTATTGTTTATCTGTATACACTTGTTTAAATGTTAATGTCGACTCATTTTGCAAATCTTCACCTGACCTCTGAAATTAGCGGTGCCTTTACGAAGTTTCATAGTAGAATAAAAGTGGGTATGAAGAGGCGAAAAAGTGCTCTGGTGTTCTTGTAAGCTCTGCTTATCAAATTGGTGTGTTCATTGATCTAATTTTCCCAGTTTTTTGGTCAAGTAGAAGAGAAGTATGAGCGAAGGATAAATTTTATGGGATTTCTATAGAACCAGAAATATTCTATGCTTTAAGATGCTACGAAATCTAAAAGGGAGCCCTTGGCGCGTTTAGATGATATAAAAAATTTTGGGATAGATTTGGCAAAAACAAAAAAGGTAGAATGAATAATAAATTGGTCCAGGACTACTTTGAAGCACTTGATATATGTCTACGGATATTTGTTTAGATAGTGTAGCCATAGCAGATAAATGTCTTCACTAGGACCAAGCTTGGGGTTTAATCGAGTCTAGTCTTCTGAGCTTTGGTATGCTTAGGCTTGACATGATTTCACTATCAGTTGTTCAACCATGGCTCGATCTCCGCAAGCTGATTCTTGGCCTCTATATCAAATGCTTATGTTCAGCTCCGTTATGTATGATGCTTATACTTAGTTGAGAATGGTGTGGAGAAGAAGTTTGAGATCAGATCACTGAATTTATTGACCATCAAAAAATTTTCTAGTAATTAACTGTAGAATATGAATTCTTTAGTTAATTACTCGTGAAATGTGGCGTTAAACTATGCCGACACATGTTGGTAGATGTCAGTGGATTCTTTGGATTGTTTCATGTGTTGGACCAGATTAATGTAGGCTTTTGTATGCCTTTTTTTTTCTCAGTAAGTTGTTTCTGTTTGTCTTGCAGGCTACTGTTTACAAATCTTGGTGGAGAACGCCGTTTTGCATCCAGTGTTGCGAAGAGATTAGAGTCTCTTGGAGCCTTAACACAGGGAGACCGTCGGTGAGTCGGATTTATATTTTGGTCTGGGGATTTGAATAAGTTCATTGACACAGAATTATCTAGATCAATATAGTGTCGGTCTTACTGCTGTGGAGTATGTTGCAGGGCTGGACCATCTCTGAGTGCTTATAATTATGATAGTGCTTATGGAAAGAGGGCCCTGATGATGATGTACAGAGGAATCATGGAGCAGGTTTTTATCTGTTGCATGATATTTTCATAATCCCTCATTTATGATACTTATGTTTTCCCCATTTGGGGTCTTTTTCTCTCTTTTTTTTTTCTTGGGGGGTTGGGAGAGGGCGTGGTTGGATGAAATTTGAAAATGCTAACTCTTTGTTTTCCAGGATTCTCTACCAGTTGTGCCACCAGGATGTTCATCCGAAAAACCAGATACAATACATGATTTTATTGTCATGGAGAAAGCTGCTCTAGTTTCTGTTGGAATAGTCAGGGAAAAAATTCTGGGTATTTTTTTTTCCTGTATATGCTTGGTACATTTGCAATTTTCTTTTGTTCTAGTTAGCTATAAAAAATTGCCCTAATCTAGTTGTTCAATCTTCGGTTTGGAATTCAGTGTTATTTGAGGCACTGAATGTCATTCTAAGTGCAGAGTTTTTTTAAGTATCTTTTTGGTTGTGTTGGATGCTGAAATTCCTCTTTATGATCTTCTCTAGGTAATGGGAAGGACTCGGGAATATTTTCTTACCGCATAGTTGATTCAGATTTGCATGATGTTGGACGATTCCTCAATCGGCTCTTAGGGCTTCCACCTGTGACCCAAAACAGGTATGTGATTTGTTCTGTAAATGCTGATATGATCGTTCCATTTATCCATGCTTATAATAGTGCATATCGCTATTTAAATACAGGCTTTTTGAGTTATTTGTCAGCATTCTTGACCTTCTCATTCAGAAGGCACGCATTGAAGGGCATTTTGACTCGGGGATTGTTGATATTAGAGCTAACACCATTGAATTACAGGGAACTCCGAAGGTTATGCTTCTGCTGTTGCTCTTACTGGCTTCACATTACACATTTTATGTTATCTTTAATCTTTTTACAGGCTGTTCATGTTGACCATATGTCTGGGGCATCCACTGTACTGTTTACCTTCACGTTGGATCGCGGGATCACATGGGAGGTATTTTCCTTTTCCCTTAAGTAATTTACTTTCGCTTTGATAGCTACATGAGTTCGGTAATATAGTTATTTGTATACAGTCTGCATCTGTGTTGCTTGATGAGAAGCAAAGGGATGTGCCTGCGTTGACCAATAATGGATTCTACGAATCTAAGAGGGAATGGATGGGAAGACGGCACTTCATTTTAGCTTTTGAAGGGTATGAAGCTGGATACTGTATAGTTACTGTTCTCAGTTAAATCCTAAAGTTATTGTAACTCTGTATTTAACTTATAGAAGAAAGTTGTAAGTGCCAAATTTAATCCTACATACACCACAAATGTATCCATGTATCTCCATTACTCCACTTTGTTTTGCACTGGAGGTATTTTTGCAGCAAATTATCAGTACGAATAACAGGAAAATAAACAAAAGCATAGAGCCAAAAACACAAAGGAACTACACTAATATAATATTTATGTGGTTTGCTACAATTTGGCCTACACTATGGTTTGCCATCCTATAACTTGTTCACAAAATTTAAGAATAATAATACGTGCTTGAGCTTGACTCGCTTAGGTTTAAATCTCAAACCTGAGTCCTTATACTCTTGTCGGCTTTACTAACTTACCCTCTTAAACCCAGCATAGAGTGGAAATTTTTCTATGAACTTGAATGCGTTTGGCACTCATTTCCCAATCCAGTACTCCTTTACCCGTGCCTTCCAATATCTTTCTGGCTTACAGATCCCCTCTGGCTGATCTATTTAGATGCAACTCAGGCACCTCATCGCACTCCCTTATGGGGTGCCTGTTGTTTGGCACACTCTGGTACACCTCTTATTGTACGTGCTTTTCCAAGCCTCTCTTTGTGCCTTCTACAATATTGCTCACCATTGCGGCTGTAAGCATAAGGAATGCCTTTCACAAAGTGCAATTGTAGTGGAGAGAAGAAAACAGTAGACTGCTTCTTCACCTCCTTTGACCGAAAATGATACGAGAGGCAAGGTCAATAAATCATCACATAATTGTTTGAAATGGAAAAAGCAGATCATTGCATTTTCTCTTTCATCACGTCTTTTATTTATCTATGTTGTCTTTCTTTTACGTACAACCTTTTGCGGCATTTTCTTCTTTCTTCTCTTCTTGTTGATATGTGTTTGTCCCAATCTGCAACTTCAATGTCAACACCCATACCATAACTCAACAGACCTATTTTTGAGGTTAAGAAAATAGAAGGTAGTTGACTTTGATGGGGTGTGCTCTAAGAGTGTCGTTCCCAATGTGGAGTCAAACTCTGATTTATACTTTTTACCGCCAAAAGTGCTGGTTTTTTCTAAATTAGGAAGGCATGCGAAGTCTTTGGTTTTTTTCTTTATTACTGGATTTTTCCAGAGGTTGGACCTGGAGTAATACAAATCCTAAGTGATGTCACAAGTTTGAATCAAAAAAATAGTCTCTCCAAAATCTGCCTCTGCATGTCACTTCTCTCTCCCATTTCTCTCCCATTATAGGCTAGAGCCTTGTGTATTGGATACAACTTTTTTGTTGGATTTTGTTCATCTGTATGCCACTTTATGGGCTTAATCTATATTTTGGTTGTTTCTACAATTCTGCTAGTTTCTAGGGCTACATTGAATTTTGAACAATATCACACTATCTTTTCAGATTTAGTTCACTATCAATGTCCTTTGAATAAAAAAAACTTCTGGATTTACTTGCTGGTTTCTTTTCTGGCTGTGTTTCAGATCTGCATCTGGATTCTACAAGATCTTCCGGCCTGCTGTTGGGGAGGGAGTTAGGTATGAAGAAAATTTATTACTAGGCTTTATTAAGTTCTAGTTTCTTGACTTTTATTTTCTATATTGGTTCTGTAGTATTCATTGCCATGTGTACTCTCTTCTATTCTCTCATTCTCTAGGGAGATGCCTTTAGCTGAACTGAAAGGCAAGTACAAAAAAGTTTCATCCCTAAAGAAGGCTTCTCGTGGTTGGGAAGTTGAGTACAAGGTTTCATCCAAACAGGTAAATTCTTGATGATTGTCTTTCTGTTGAAGCATCGAACTCACTTACAGTGTGAATATTTAAAAGGTTCCACATTTCCTATGTGGGAAAAGCTTGAACTCCCGTTGACAGTCAACTCTTGACTCAGATGTGAGATCAACACAAACAGAATGTGCTTCCAAAATTCTTGACCGAATACATTTAACATTGCTTGACAGAACACGTAAAGATCAGTAGACTGCTGAATGGGGAAAATGATCGAGTTTTGACCCACCATCTCTGGAAACCGAAACTCTCTTTGATATCATGTTAGGGGATCCAACTAAAAACCATAAGGCAATGAGTGGAGAGGTCCACAAAGTCCGTATAGTAGTTTGGTAGGTTTCACATGTCTGATGTGAGCCTTGCATGTATGTTGTTAATCATTCTTGGTACCTTCTGAAGAATATTTATTTATCAAAAATTCGATGACGGGTCTGAGGTGGATCATGTACATGCTAACCTGTAATAATTTCATAACTTGCATTTTCTTTGATTTATGTTCTTTTTTGTTCCGTTACATCACTTATTTTGTGATGGTTAGGACAAGTAGAAGTCCCAGTTTTACCAAGTCTTTATTATTCATCCTTGGTCCATTTTCTCCTAGTTAGTGTATGCTCTTGATTTTGGTATTTGGGAGGAAAGCATGCATTGGTGGTTGTTGATTATATCTTTGTGGGTTATGGCTAAAATGACTTTTCCTGCCTCCCAAAAATAATTTATTTCTTTTGAACAAGACGAATTCATACATTATCGGTACCATGGCGAACTTGTAATATTGAAATATAAGAGATTGTTAACAGATGATTATTTTTGTAAAACAATGGGCCTTTTTGGAGTTGTCTTTTTAAGATGAAAAACTGCAGCTTGAAAAGTTTTGCAAAAAAGTCATAGTTAAAAAAGTCTTCCAAAATTATTTGGAGTGTTCTTTAAAAAGTTAAAAAAATTGAAAAAGTCCGTTTGGAGTGACTTTCTAGCTTTTTTGTGTCAAAATAAAAAAAAATAATTACATGTATATATAAATTATGCATCATAGTTCTCAAAATATGAATTTTAAATTTTTTTATGTCATTAATAATATTTTATGAATATAATAAACTAAAAAGTTATGTAAGACCTGCGATAAAACTCTAAAAATTCAGAAGAAAAGTTTATAAAATTAGTTTTTTGAATCGGCCTAAATAAGTCTTTTTAGGTCTAAAAATTTGTTGCATAAGCTGGTAAAAAAGCTAAGGTCCAAATGAATTTGACTTATTTTACTCCTAAATCCTTAAAAATCATCTATTTAAGCTTGTTCCAAATAGCCCTAATATTCATGAAAAGTGCTTTTCCTTGGGAGAATTAAAAAATCCAAATAATATGTCATCATCTTATATCTTTGTGGGTGTGTCCGTGCACACACATTCTCAAGTGTGTGCATATATATTTTACTGTTGACTTTAGTGACCCAGCATCGAAGAGATTATTAGAGATTTTGAGTTTTAACTAGGTGGGAAAAGTTGATGCATGCACTTGTATGTATTAAAGGGCTGGTTATCTTAGCAATGTGTCGTTGAGAAGTTTTTTCGACAGCTGTTCTTTTAGATTTAAGGTATTGTTTTGGCATCAATATTTGTGCTGGTTAAAAAGGTTTGAAAGGAGCAGCAAATGGCTGAGCAGAAGATTTATCTTTCATGGTAGAGCACCATTAATTAGATCTGGGTATGTTTGCCTAATTGATGATGCTTCCTTAGCGTTCCTCTTCTGGTGGCTTATAGTTGCCTTGCCCTGCAGTGCATGCACGGCCCCAATTGCAAGCTTCGTAACTTCTGTACGGTTGGAAGAAGACTACAAGAGGTAAACGTGCTGGGTGGCCTTATCCTTCCTATTTGGGGTACTATAGCGAAGGCCCTCTCCAAGCAGGTAAGTTGACCTTAATTTGCTTCTTTATTGGATTGTGTGTTATTTCTTGTGTTGTTTCTTTCACTTTTTATTCTCAAATCGTTAGGGGTGATCATCAAGTCGTGTTGTATCATCCGGCATGCATTATACCTACCCTTTTTTGAAGAATTGTTTGGGTCATATTTTCTTTGGTGCATATGGAGTATCAATCAGTTCCTCATTGTTTGCCATTGGTGGTGTTAATTCTCATTTTGCTACTGATCAAAGAGAGAAGCTGTGAATTAGAAATCAACAATTGGTGTCAGATGTTCTCTCAATCAAACAAACCATCCATATTTTCTGTAAACTAAAAATTTATTCGGTCCTAACTATAAGTTTTTTGATTTTATAAGAACTCATCAAATACTCGATCAAGAAATAGGAAAAAAACTTGAAACCTCATAAATTTTCTTCAATATTTTGTGTTGGATTTGTGTCGTGTGGAAAATTGCAACCGATACAAATAGGTTCCTCATTGTTTGCCATTGGTGGTGTTAATTCTCATTTTGCTATTGATCAAAGAGAGAAGAGAATGAGAAGAAAATCTCATTACGACTCACTTTGTATTGTATTACTTAGTTAAAAAGCTACATAATAAAGGTCTTATATAGTACAACAAAACAAAATTAAGTAATGACTAAAATACCCCAAATCCTAAAAATATTAGAATACTCTAACACCCCCCTCAAACTCACGAAGTAGTAGCAAAGAATATTAGGAGCTACCAAGAAGAAAATGGAAGCGCACTATTGTGGGAGACTTCGTAAAGAAATCTACCAATTGCGATGTAAAAGGAAGGAAGAGGAGAGAGATGGTGGCTAGTTGAAAGTGATGGTGCACAAGGTGTATTGCAATTTCAATATGCTCTATAAGCTCATGAAATACCGAGTTATGAATAATCCGAATAGTACTAATGTTGTCACAATACATAAGGATAGGAGTAGATAAAGGAATGCCAAGATCAGAAAGCAACCAGCGTATCCAAACTATCTCAACGGGGTAGATGTCGTAGCATGATAGTCAACTTTAGCAGAGGAATAAACAACTGTAGTTTGCTTCTTTATTTTTTTGGAAATAGGAGAATCATTAAGGAATAAACATAAACCAATGGTAGACTTGTGATCTATAGAGACACTATCTTAGTTAGCACCCAAGTAAATCTTTAATTCCAAAAAAGAGGAGGAAGAAAATAATAGACTTTGATGCAATGTGCCCTGAAGGTACCAAAGAAGGTACCAAAGAATGCGGAGGAAAGCAGACTAGTGAACAGTGAAACAATAAACCAACAAACTACATGAATAACATAAGAAATATCTGGATGAGGAATTGTAAGGTATAGTAGATTGTTAACAATAGTGCGGTAGTACCAGGCAAAAGGGAACCATTTAAAAAAGAGTAATGAACATTGGGCTATATGGGTGTCTTAAAGGGCAATGAACGTTGGGCTATAAAGGTGTCTCAACTGTCCTGATTATTTGATTAGGGAGCTCGCTAAATAAAATCTGATGCATACTTGGACCAAGAGAAGAGCTATTAAGCATAGATACGTGGTAAGGGCTGTTGTATTTGTATGGGTACAGATATGCGTTTGATACGTCAAGATGTATCAGATACGTCGTATACGTATCCTATAATTAATAAAATTGTTTTCTATTTTTAGATACACCTTGATACGGGATACACACAAGGATAGTTTTGGGATATGCCTTTACAAGGAAACCGAGATGAATATCGATGTGGGGTTCAGGTCAGGCAAGACCACAACCAACATCAAGATGACACAAATACACGAGGAAAATTTGATCAAGTATTGGTGTCAAAGTTGTAGCCAGTTGGATTTGCGGGAGCTTTGTCATTCTCATTGTTTCTCTGATACAACAGGAGAGAGAGAGAGAGTTTTAGTAGAGATAGAAAGATGTTTTCTATTTTTTGGTGAGTGTGAAAGTCTGATTTCACTTAGGAGAAGAAGATAAGATGGTCTTCGTGTCAATTTATCAAGGTAATAGTGGGATTACCCCTTATCATTTTGTTTGCCATGCATCTTAATTTTTCTTTTTTAGGTCAAAGCCATGTGTCTTAAGTTGAAACCAGATATTCTTTTTTTTTTATTGTTTAAATCAAACTAAAGAGACCACCAAATCAATTGACGTATCAACTCAATTAAAGATATTCTCCGGTTTTTTCACTGTCGTATTGTGATGCTGAAGATAGTTTGGACCCAAACTTGCTCTGATACCTTGTGGAGATTGATCAAAGGGAGAAGAGCGAAGAGAGCGAGAAAGAGAATCTCATTATGGCTCACTTAGTCTGTATTACATTACTTAATTAAAAAGCTAGACAATAAAGGTTCATATAGTACGGCAAAACCGAATAAGATAAACGACGGACTATTAAAAATACTTGAACACTAATAGTCCTGTTGTTAGCCATGGATTACGACAGATTTATTTGTAATCGTGTTCTAGATTCTTCCATTCTTAGGTCAGTATGTGCCAATTTTTTGTGATATTTCATTATTAGGATGGAGTAGCCAATTTTTGCTGATTGATAGTTTCAGCACTGTTTACATGGTTTGGCTAAGCTTATCAGAGCAATTATGATTTCACCTGGTTTCTGCCACAATCTGTGCTCTGAAACTTGGAGGTGTTCAATGACTATGTCATCAATCATGTATTTACTTGCCCATGTTCGACCTTGGATATAACCTGTGAAGTAGTTAAAATTTTCATTTTATTTATTTTTTGGTTTTTTGTTTTGTTTTGTTTTGTTTTGTTTTTTTTTTTTTGGGGGGGGGGGGAGAGGGTAGTGGGAAGTGATACTTAAATCAACAGTGAATCTTGGTGCCCTTGGCTTCATTTGAGGAGTGATTTTGTGTCTATTTGGTTATGAATTTATTTTGCCATTTTCCTGCCTCTTTCACCATGTGAGATTTTGAAATGTTAATCTAAATAAGTGGAACCTCCATGTTATAATTAACATCCTATACAGGCCCGCCAAAGCCATAAACAGCTCCATATTGTACGTATCGAGACTACCACAGGCAATCATCGAATTGTTGGGCTCCTTATCCCAAATGCAGCGGTGGAATCTGTGCTTCAAGGTCTCTCTCTCTCTCTCTCTCACACACACACACACACACACATAAACTGAAGCTTTTGCTTGGAAGGTATAAATTGGTTATGCTTATTTGGATAAATCATACAGTTGGTTAATGAAAATTTAGGGCAGATTACTGAAAGAACCTTAAAGCTGGCACTTATTTTACTCTACCCTTTGTAGTTTTAGATGTGATAACAATTAACTGACGTCTTGGCAGAAATACTCAAATTCCATTTTATCTTTGGTAGAAGTCAAATTGATGCCCCCAAGAAATCTCTGTTCTTTCCCCAATCCCTATAAAATCTGCCCTCACCTAGTAGAAAACATCACTACTGTACCAACTCCCATTCCCTGACAATCTCTTCCCAGCAGGCTCCCACTCCTACCTCTATCATTGTACCAAGACACGTTCCTAGAAAGGCCGCTCCACTCACCACTCTATTCCTGCCCCCTCTCTCATCCCACCCCACCACACCACATGCAAGTGGAAAAAATGAAAGAATTCCTCCATAACCACCCACCCACCGTCGAACCTTACAGACCAGTGCCCACTTTTCATCAGACCCTCCTTTCTCAGCGGCTGTGTATATGCATAAAAACTACCATCCAATTTGCCCCTCACTAATAGGGAGTCTGGGCGGGTGAACTAGGTTCAAACATGACCTGCAGTATTATTTGGAAGAAGTGATTGTGCTTGGATTCCTACTACACTAGAGGTTACAAGGTCGAACTGTAAGCCAATGACCATCTTGTTATGTGTCTGTATACACGTGTATTTATATACATTGTGTGATGTGATGGTGGTGGTGTATATATGGGTGTGGTCGTGCAGTGGTGTTGCAGGTGGTCAGATTTGGGTATGGGTATGGTGGTGACAGTGGTGTTGCAGGTGGTCAGATTTGGGTATGGGTATGTTGGTGACAGTGGTGTTGTAGGTGACCAGATTTGGGCTTGGGTGTGGTGATATCTGATGTATGGGTTCTGGTGGTGGCATTTTTTGGTGTTATTTGGTAGTGGGGACCTTTGGTGGTGGTGGGTTCAGATGGTAGTCTTTGAGGGGGTGATGGATGGATGGTGGTGATTTGTTGAGAGAGGAACAGGAACAGACATTTTTTGTGTTACAAAGCATAGTTGTCAAATCGCAATTTGTATCGTGACTTAGAATCTTAAATTTGAGAATCGTGAATCGTAAGATTCAACAAAATTTGAATAAAAAAAAATAATACTACATATTTAAAATAGAAAAAATATTGAATATTGAACATTATTGCATTTTAAAAATAATTAATTGACATAATTATGTCATCTAAATGAAAAAATGCTAGCCTTTTGTTTCATTTTTATTTTTTACTTAACTATTTTTAAATTCAACGACTTGAAATTTTTTTTTTATTAAAGATCCATGATTATTCAAGAACCAAAATAGTGACCCAATATAGATTAGGTTATAAACATGAACGGAAAACTAACAAAAATTGATTGGGAGAAAACATATAGGCCAACATTTTGAAATAACAAATTAGAACTTAACAAATTACCATGAAAGAATTGAGAGCAAAAATCAATGGATGATGCGAGAGCGTTAGCCGTGACCTTTAGTTTTAGACATGCAAGGCGAGTTTTAGACGACGTTAAAGAGAAAACGAGTAAAGATGTTGAACTTTTATTAGGGCGTGAATTCCTCTGCAAACAAAACGAGGTTGTTTTGTGAAAGATTTGGGTTTAAAAAAAAATTGATTGAATTGTGCAATTCGTGCGATACGAATCGAATCGTACGAATTGTATGATTCAAGTGCAATTCAACTATAAAACGATTCTTATATAAGAGTTGAATTGCTTTGTATCTGTATTGAACCGGATTGTACGAATCGAATCGCAAATCATACGATTTTGATAACTATGTTACAAAGTATTTTCCTAATTTTTCTTGATATTTATAACACTTTTTTAAATTTTAATGAGTGAAGTAATCGTTTTATGAAAATACTAATGATGGCAGTTCTTGAGCAATTAACTACTCACAGAGAGTGGTTGATTGTAAGTTGGTTCAAAACCTGGAGGAGTCCTACATAGTTTTTTAAATCACAGGGATAGTGTAATTAGTACAAAGGTAGTTTGTAGAATAGACCGAAGTCCTATGGTGCAATTTGTTGTTGTAATCAGGGCCTTGTCAAGTTCTAAATAAAGTATCATGTCACTACTCTTGCTCATCCTCCTATATGATTTGACTATTTCTGCCAATGAAATTCTGATACAAGAATTCATACCTTGAGAAATCAATTTCATGGAGCTATTAATTCGTTGGTTACAGATTTAGCATGGGTTCAAGATATCGAGGATTGATATGGAACAAGAGCTGTGGCTTTTTTGTGGCTATATGATTGATGACAGTAGCTAACAGCAAATTGCAGCTTCGTTCTCATGCAAGGGAGACTGCCTTTTGAACTTTTGTGTGTGCGCTTCGGCTAGACTGGCTTGTATAAATCACTGTACAGTGTCATCAAAACTACATAGCCGAAGAACAATACACTTTTTTGTCCAGTTACAGTACATGGTGATCCAATAAACATATGTATAGCTGTTTGTGATCAAGATTTTGCTCTGCATTTTTTGTATAGCTACTCTACTGCAGAGGAAGGTTATCTGTGGGAGTATTGGCCAAGCATCCAGTACTCCTATCAGATTCCTCCCTTAGCCCATCAACTTTTATGCTAGGGCCATTCTTGTCTGTTGTACAGTTTGTAAAGCTCAACCCACACAATCTGCTTATATATTTATGTATGTGTGTGTGTAGCTGAAATGAGAGGTATAATGCATATGGTTCAAAGTCTATTTTCCAATTACTGAAGATAAAGCAATAAGAAGACTACAGTCTGAGTGCTATTAGCTTTTTCTGCGTGTATCTCATGCTTTTCATACTTAAACACAAAAGGAGCATCAACATGATGGTCATTGCAATAGGGTCCCTGACGTTGTGTAAGAGTAATGCTTTTGGGGCATTTTTGATTTAATTTGTTAACTTAATAGTATGATAGTACTATGGCTGAATAGTATTGTGTCGACTGTAATTGGTAGAATTTTTTTTAATCAATAATTCTATTGAATTAATTTGTTGTCATAATTCGTCGCAATTGTAATATTGATGATAAAAGAGTGTATTTAGTGCACGAGTCTTCTGTTATTATGGAGCCTGGGGAGGGTTAGAGATGTATATAGCTGTATTCTTGTAAATAGAGAGATTATTTTTGTGACTTAGAATTCGTGACTTGTAGGTTATAATGAAACAATTTTATCGTTACGTTAAAGTTCGCTCTTTTAGAGTAATATTATTAAAACTTAAAAAATTGAGAAAAGGGGTTGAGGTCCACCGCTTGCACTTATTTGGTCAACAAGAATAGACATAAAATTTGAGTCATACAAAAAAATAAATTTTCCCTTATTATAAATGAAAAAGGGACATCTTATATTTGAAATGAAATCCTATTTTCCTCTCCTTAACAAAATATATCCTTTGTTTGCGGTGGTGAAAAGTCACTATTTCATCTCTACTTCTCTGCCTTCTTTATCGATGGTGACAATGTTATCATTTTCCATTTCTACTTTAGCTCTGTCTCCTTCATTTGCAGCGACGATACAAAACATCAATGATGACTTAGTGGAGATTTTGCTTTCTATACCCTGAAACCTACAAAGAAAAGTTCAATAACTGATCAAACTAAAGACAAATTATAAAAAAGAAACAGAGAAATATGTAGACAAAATTTTCACAAGAAAGTTAAAAAATATTCTTATCTCTTAAAAGTTTTCACCATTCTAATTTCAATATTAATGTCGTCAATGAAATACATTTTGAATCGGATAATAAAATATGTATATCCCTGTCCAAATTGATTGAATGAGAATTTAAGTTCACTAAATGATACTGAAAACAGTAGAGTGAGACTCCACTATTTCAAAATTGTGAAATACTATGTAACCCAAATTTTCAATTCAAATTTGCATCCGAAATGAAGGGGGACCATCGGATGAATGAGTTCCATCAACTTTCTTAAATGGGACCCACTGATTCAAAAATTTCCCTTCATTTGAGATATAAATTTGGATTACAGATTTGAATTACGTAATATTGCTCTTCAAAATTTCGGTTCTAGATTTGAAAAGTACTATTTCGTTCTTGCAAGCGTTATTGCAATTTTGAAAATTTGGGAGATCCATATTTCATACTAGATTAATGTAGTTATCAAATTTGAAAATTTGGGAGATCCATATTTCATACTAGATTAATGTAGTTATCAAATATTTTGACTCTGATCTATTCAATATCTTTTTTAATTACAATAGAAAAAATCTTGAATTAATGAATTTATCTATATGATAGACTTTTGTTTTCCATGATTTTTTTTTTGGTTTTAAATTTATCTGTTTTAATAAATTTTAGATTTTCAAAACTATTTTTGGTCAATTTATATGTATTAATAAAATTTTCTTTTCAACGATATTTTAGGTCAATTTATCTATTTTAATAAAAATTTTATTTTCATTATATGTAGCATGAATTTATTTATACTATAAATTTTGATTTTTGTGATTCTTTTATTTTTAATTTATCTGTTTTAATCAATCTTAAATTTTCAAAGTTATTTTAGATCAATTTATCAGTATTAATTTGTTCCAAGACAGTGATTTTTGCCCATTTTACTGCTAATACAGTGACATAGGTTCAATAATAAACCCATTTCTCTTTCTTAGACATGTATGGACCTCAAATAGTTTTGAAAATATGTAAAATTAATATAGGCATGTGCTATTTACGAAATCATCAACTATAATTATCTACACAAATTTATAAAAAAATGACCATAAATCTGTAGTGAAATTATAACAAAGTGTAGACTTAGGGGACATTTGGTAACGTACCCTAACACCACCAAACACCCACCACCACCATTGAAACCCACCCCCGGTAACCCCAAAACCCATAACCCCTGTGACCATTGAAACCCACCCCCACAAACCCTTTTGTGAAACTCATCGCCTACCTCCAAAATACACCACCACCCAAACTCACCACCACCAAAACCCATCCCCACAAGGCTACAACCCCCCTGAACCCACCACCACCATTGAAACCCACCCCTATCCCCAAAATCCACCACCACCGAAACCCAACACCAAAATCAAGCAAAACCCACCACCAAAGAAGATGAGAGAGAAAAGATGAATTTTCAAACGAGAAAGAGATGAGAGGCAACTCTTCGGTTCTTCACCGAGAGAGAAAACGAGAGAAGATAAGAGAGAGAAAAGTTGGGTGAGGAGTAGTCGGTAGAAGAGCGACCTTTTTATATTTTCAACCAAAAGTCCTAAATTTTGGTTTTAACAAGATTCAAAAGTAAGATGTCATTAAAGGGTGGGGCTGAGGTGCACATTTATTTTTTTGATGCGTTCATATTTTGGCTTTATTTTTAAAACGGGACAGTAAAAAAAAATGAAAACACATCCCAAACGGGTTATTATTATTTTTTTAAGCAAAAAATGAAAAAAAAGACAAACAAAAAAAACACAAACTTTATGTTATCAAACGCTACCTTACAATATCTCTATTAAATAACAAGGTCACTTAAACCATTTTCCATGGATTCCATTACAGAGCATAAAAAGTAGTCTCAAAGTCTTCATGAAAAAGCCCAAAAAAATTATCCATGTTTTCCGTTATTTAAATGTTGGTCTGAGAGAATAGAGAATAGAGAACAGAGAAAATTGTAATTGGCAGTTGGACAACCCCCCTCTAGCCAAATTAAATAGTGAAATACAACCTAAACAACGAATTATACATATTCATGTAGAGAAGTTGTGCAACGCTAAAACGAGAACACAGAGAAAATGAAATTCGTCCCAAGACAATAAAAATCATGTATTCATTATCCTGGACAGTAAAAATAATTTTATCATCATGAAAAACAACCCAATAAAACTTGCCTCAACACACAAAATAAAAATTGTATCACAGTGACACTACACTTTCACTTACTTTCTTATTCTTTGAACATAAAAAAAAAAACTTCATAAGATTTCATCGAACATAGATAGATAGAGGCTTGTGGGTTTCCCAAAGTTTTGAAGGAAATGTTAGTTGACAACGGACTATTTCATGCGTGAGTATTGCTGCATCTACTAAAATTGTTTATGAAATCAATACAGATCATTGAATTAATGAATCCATTGATTTTTTTTGAATAAAACTCATTGATCTAATGATTGGTATTGATACGGTAAACTTCATGCAAATAGCATTGATACCAGAATCCAAAAGTCACTCCTTTTTGCTATTATATGTTTATTTTTTTTCTTGGTTTATCGGTCAAGGATGTCCGAGCCAGTTTACATGTATCTCGACAAATCCTTTCTTTGGTCTGATAAAAAAAGAGGTTATTTATACTGGGACTAAGGTGCTTATGATGGATAAATCTTTCACGACCTAGCCTAAGTAATTACTAAGATTTAAATTCAGGACATTTTAATTTATAACTCGTCTCAGTTACAACTTGAGGTCTCTCTCCGGGCAATTACGTGTTTATTACTGGGATGAAAATGAATGCTACCAATAACAATGGGTCTCAAGTCTCTCAAATGTACCTAAAATTTTAGATATCGGAGAAGAGATAAATAAGAAAGTTGGTTCACAGAAACAAATCAATAGTATAAATAACATAAATTCCTCGGATCAAATTCTAAAAATGCTTAAAGGGTCCATAACATCGTGATAAAACCTAGCACCAGTGTACACCCAGCCATCACATTAACTTTGGTAGCTGATGAGGGAAGAGTTGATGATGGTGGTGGTGGAGAACCACTCGGAGAATCAGAAGTTTCAGGGGCCCCAGCAGAAGGAACATCAAGGGATGTAGGACTGATTGCACCTACAGGTGACTTGTCTGATGGCGGATTGGCCACAGTAGGGGCGGGCGCTGGCGAATGCTGCAGTGGGGGAGTTGCAGTTTCGGAAGGTGGTGATGCAGCCGGAGGAGTGGCCGGAGAACCAGGCGATGGAGTCGGAGTTGCTGCTGTTGGAGGGTTGTTTGGAGAAGCAGCTGGTGGTGTAGAAGCTGCAAGAGTGTCGATTTCAACCTTCATTCCTTGGCTACAATGTCCACTTGTTCCACAGATGAAGTATCTCTTCCCTGGAGAAGCAAGAGGGATGGTGGTGGTGCCGCCACTATAACTCTGAAGAGGGTTACTTCCCGTGCATGAATCATAGTCTGCCTTCGACACTTCAAGCACGTCGTGATTTGGAGTGTACTGGAAATCTGCAAAGTTAATGTAGACTTACGCTAAGCAATCTTTTCCAGGGAAAGTTTCCATATCATTATCCAGTAACATATGCCAAAAAACACGCACAACAGTCCCACTATTGTAGAGTCTGAGAGAATCAGATGTACGTAGTTTGTAATATAGGTGCGAATTTTAAGTGTTTACTTGTATAAAAACATCAGTATTGCAATGTAGAGTGAAAATGTTATTTATTTAGAACAGTTTTTGTGACTTACCAAGATTATCTCCAACCAAAAATGTCTGGGACGTTGCCCAAGATTGCAGCTTACTAGATGTATCCCACCCGCGGTTCGGTCCTCCGACCGTGTAGTTTGTTGCCATGGCTCCATTGATGATGAGGGCTGCAGTAGCCAAGCTCATTAGCATTCTCAACATTGTCATTCCGGGACCAATTTAGAGGAAATAGCTCCGAGTTAGAAATCAGAAGTCAATTTCAGAGGAGAGATTATTGTGGTTATGGCTTGCACAAGGATTGCTATTTATATATACAGAAGGTACTACGGAGTTGATGGAGTCCAAAAATAAAATAAAATGAAGATAACATTGATTATATGTTACTAATTCCAATTGAATTTAAATATTATAAAGGTGAGCCAATCACAGGCTGTTTTGCAGAAGTACAGCTCTTTCTCTACCTCAACCGTGTTTTTCTCTTTGTTTTTACGAATTTGAAGCTCATATGTTGGAGCGACTATGTCGAGCTTGTCTTCAGTGGTGTTACGGTGACAGGTGTTCGTAACTATGGTTTAAATTAAACATTCTATAACGGATGAGAATCTTAATATAATTTTTTGGGGTTGTTACGTCTGGTTGTCCCTGACTATTTTTTTAATTAGCATAAAAAAATAAAAATTATTGTGCATTTGTTTATGCAAGTTGGTCTTGACTTGGCTTAGGTATACCAAAGCTGACTTTTTGTGAAGTCTAATATAACATGAACATGCCTAAATATGGAGCATACTTTAGTAGTTGAAACTTGATGTGAGAAAACTAGAGAAGTCCTTAAAATATAAAAAAATTTCAAGTTGATCACAATACATCCAGTTCATATACCATTCAAACGTAATCCCATCGAAGTCAAGCATCATATAATTTCAAAAATTATAGGATGCTGGACTTTTATCATTATCTATATATATATATATATATATGCTACTGCTACATGCATGTCTGACCAGAAAGTTGAAATACTATATGGAGTAGTTCATGGAAACCATAACCAGAAGTGACAACTTTTTCTTGGAGGATGACCAAATCCGAGTGACCAAAACCAACCACACCAACATTGCCAAATTAAAATAAGGGCAAATTACATTTTTTGACCTTTTCTTTTTTACATTTCTCCATCAACTATTATGCTTCTCATGTTATACCGTGATCAATTATATTACTTATTTCACATTGCCCTAGTGATTAAAATCTGTAATAAATTTATTGAAAAGTGTTTCACTTTGTCCCTGAACTATGTGATTTTATTTCACTTTCTCCTAACACATTGAGATTTTTCGTCCAAAGATAGTAGACATTTGTGTTTGAGCCGGCATAAAATCAATTCAAGTAGTTCAGTGGGACAATGTGAATAATTCCTCTACACTTAATCAACATTTGATAGATTATCCAACCCCGAACAATCTTAGTTATCGGTGGTAGTTCATTGACTGGTATTTGTTTAGCCATTTAAATTGTGACCGGCATTTTTTAGCTATACATCACACATGTGGATCAAGAAAACCAAAAAAAAAATCGACGAGGAAACAAGTATTCAGCGGAACCAGAAGGCCTGGACATTAAATGCACATATTCAAACAAAGCCTTGCACCCCTTCCCCTTCCCCTTCCCCTTCCCCCTCCTTATTATTAAAGAAAGGGGGAGAATACTCACTGACAGAAGTGACTCTTTGTTTGGGTGTTCTATTATTGCCTCCTATTCTTGAGGGGGCAATGGTTAGGGTCAAGTCGCGTGGCAATCTTTTTGGGGTGGGTGTTTCGTACTCAAATTTATACTGGGATAATTATTCAGCGCACTAAAATCTAGTTTAAAAATTCAAGAGGCAAAGTAGAATATAGTCCATATTTAAGACGTTCAAAGTGCAACTCTCCCTGAATGTGAAAAAGAAACATTTCTGTAGCTATCATAGAGATGATGTCATGTGAATGGTTATGGACGCACGTATAAGCTTTTTCTCTGCCATGAGAATTTGGTAGAACTATCCATATCCACCCTTTTTCTATGCCTATGGTCTACATTTTGTGGTTTGAAAGTAGAGAAGAGCTTGAAGAAAAGATGGTATGGTTGGGAACCCACCTGTCAACCTCTTGACTGGACCATGGCCAGCAAATGCAAACATACTTATGTTCTTTGGCCCAGTAATATCTCCAATGGAGGCCTCAATGATGTTTACATTTTAAGAGATTCTGTACCCAGGCTAACGTGAATAATAAGTTATGTCTTTTTGAGTTCATATCGTGTTGAAGTTGTGGTGCATTGAAAAGTTTCTAATTCGGGTTGGATAAAAGTTAGATATAATTGAATTTGTGTTAATTTATTAATTAAATGAGTGTGGCGGTCAACTTTTTTATGACATGGACACTTGAAGATTAAACTCGTGTTCTGTAAAAAAAAAATCAACACATTCAAAAGTTTAAGGTGTTGTGGAGAGTATAAGATGATTTGTACACTTTAACACGGCCCTCACCTATGGTTCAGATTCTAGATCAGACACATGTAAGGACGAAGAGAAGAGCTCATGAAGCTTTACGTTTTGATACGTAGAATATATTTTCCTTTTTTCGAAAAAAAATAAAAAATATTTGAACTTTATGAGTGTAGAAAATTAACGAGGATGAAAGTAGAATGGTAGTAGACATTTATTTAAACAATAGTCATTAGATAACGCATGCAAGTGAAAATTACATCTAGCTAGGGAAGCACCAATGAGAAATTATGCTTGTTTAGTACCACTTGGTCTCTTACCGCCGCCCTGCTGTGACTCTCACTCTGCTTTGTGGTATTGAAGATGCCGAGGAAGTAAATTTCTTGGTGCACCTGAGGTGGTACAAGTCAGGACCCTGAGATCAAAATAGAGAGTCAACTTAATTAAATGAATATCTGCGGGATCTGGATTCTTTTCATTTTTAAAATCTATTAATTTCTATGTAAGATTAATCATCCAGTGTTGAATCTATTGAGTCTAACCGGATGTTAATTTGACCCGTAAGAACTACTAATGAGACCCAATGCGGCACGTTATGGCACTTCTTTGACGGATCCGAATGCCCGCCTTGCGCCTTGCTCTGAAGAATTTATGGGACGGCAGGCTGGCTAGACAAAATGAAACTTTTGAACTTGACCCAAATAGAAAAGTGCACATCCTGTATCAACACCCCTCACATACTTATAGCAAATGGCACTAGGAAAGTTTATTTCATTGGGTTTGAATCTTAAATGTGCAAAGAGGATGTACATTGTGTTTTGTACTATCAATATGGTTTGGCATTGGGATGTACTATAGTTGAAGTAGCGAAGTCTTTCTTATGTTAAATGTACTATCATTGTTACTGTTTGTACCATAGTTTTTTGTTGTTACTAAAAAATGCGATAGGAGGACACTTGACCCAAAGGTATCTTTTAAGAGAGGGAGAAAACTATGGTCTGTTTAGTTTGTATCTCAGAAATTATTTTTTGTCTTCAAAAATAGTTTTTGGAAGAAAAGTTGTTTGACTTGTTTTTTAAGTTTTTGCTTTTGAAAACTAAGAATAAAAACTGGGTAAATTTAAAGAACAAATTAGAGTTGTTTTGTCATAATTGTATATTTTTGAAAACAAGTTTTCCAGAATTATATTTCACCACCCTTCCATCACCACCACCACCACCACCACCACCATTGTTTTCATTGTTTTATGAGTTACTGTTTAAACAAGTTTTAATGTTTTCTATTCCGTAGAACTATTTTTGGAATTATATAATCAAATAAGTTCTGTAATATAAAATATACTAAAAACAGTTTTCTAAAACTCTTTTTTAAAAATAATTTTTAGATATTATTTTTTAAAATGCAAACAAAACAAGGTCTACAATACCGAATTTCGGTACCATATATTCAAATGTTATAATTTTAATGAGTGTTTTTATAACTTTTGTAGATTATTTTAGTAAAAAAATATTATTTGGATTTAATTTGTTGATCTTGTCTGTTTGTCTAATACATCAAAATTATTGAATTGATAGCAGGTCATAATTAATATTTGGTTTACAATCAATTCTATGATAGTGATCTATTAGGTCAACAAATTAAGTTAATAAATAAAATTTAAGTAGCATTTTTGAGCAAGTCGTAATAGAATGATTTTCGCATGAATAAACCCAATATACCAATTATATTTAACCATTATTAGGAATAGTTTTAAATTAGATTTAGGATAAAATGGAGTGCAATATTCAAGGCAGTTCAATCAGTCTTTTGTAACCGAAATTTCTGCAAATTATTAAAAGATTTCCCCTTTCATTAATGTTTAATTTTAATTTTTCTTTGATTTTTATCTATCAATTATTTTTAGTTCAAGAAAGTCCTAAAATAATTGTCTACTCCAATTGCATAATCACTAAAATCACATGAGAAAACACCGTGGAGGAGGGACTAGCAAGGACGGCTCTGACTCCTCTAGTTTTAGAGGTCTAACAGCACACCATGCTGTTAATTGAAATGACGGCATTTTGTGTAAATGGTCCCACAAAACAGTCCCATAAATGGAATGGTGCCGTTCAAGCAAAACACCCACAAAATAGCCTTCTCCCATTAAACAATTCAAACTTTCTCCCTCCAGAATTGCAAATTTTTCCTCCACAAAATCAAACCAGCGTTGCCTTCGTCTTCCACAACAGCGAACAACCCTTCGTCTTCCATAGCAACAAACATATCCAAAATGCTGCCGAAAATGCCTTTAGGTCACTGTTTACAGCTCGGTGCCAACAAAGTTCCATAATTTTGATTCAATTTTTTCGTAAACATTAACACCCAGGTTTAATCAAACCCTATTTCTATAGTTTTTAGTGAATTGATTTTTATTATATTACTTCACATTCTTTTTTCACTTCGATTTGCACTAGATTTTGATTTAACGTGTGATGATGTGTATAACATGACAGAGCAGAATGAAAGATTCAACATATACTAGAGAGTTCAGTTGGAGCTTCAAGGCTCTAGGGAATAGGAATTTTGGGCTAGTGAATAGTTATACACAGTATTTATAGTGGTTTACCACCTCGGGAGTACTTCGACTAATCTATTCCTGAAGGAGTCTCTTGCTCCTGAATATCTTAGTAACTATGAGAATTTTACAGAGAGTATTTGGTAAGACTACAATGAC